TCCATAACAAAGCCATTACCTACAGAGAGATGAACCTGGAGAAGAGTCCCCTAAGCAAGCTGGTCCTGGGGCTCTGTTCACAAACACAAACAGACACAACAGAGCCCCAGGACAGCAACACAATTAGACCCAACCAAATCATGAGAAAACAAAAAGATAATGACTTGACATATTGGAAAGAATTAACAAATAAACAGAGCAAACTAGAATGATATTTGGCCCTAAACAGAGAGTACACAGTGGCAGAATACCTGACCACTGTGACTGACCCAAACTTAAGGAAAGCTTTGACTATGTACAGACTCAGTGCTCAAATACCACAGTGTGCCATCACAGCAGCAAAATGTGTGACCTGTTGCCACAAGAAAAGGGCAACCAGTGAAGAACCCATGTTTCTTTATTTTCCCTTTTGTACTTTAACTACTGCCACATCATTATAACACTGTATATAGACATAATTACATTTGAATTGTCTATTCCTTTGGAACTTCTGAGTGTAATGTTTCCTGTAAAACATTTATTTTGCTTATTTCACTTTTTTTTTTAATGATCTATTTCACTTGCTTTGGCAATGTAAACATATGTTTCCCATGTCAATAAAGACCTTAAATTAAATTGAGAGATAGCGGAGAGGCAAAAGAGCAACTGTGTGTGAATGTGAAGAGACTTACATTGCCTCGAGGGGAGAGATGGGTAGACGACTGGAGAGGGATAGAGAAGATGGAGAGAGGGAGAGAGAGAGAGAGATGAGGCACCTACCTGTCCATATAGTGGGTTAGTAGCAGAAAGGAGAGAGAGAGAGAGAGAGAGATGAGGCACCTACCTGTCCATATAGTGGGTTAGTAGCAGAAAGGAGAAGAGACTTACATTGCCCATGTACTCAGACAGCAGGTCCTGCAGAGCCTGACGGACAGAGTTGCACTCGGCCACGATGCGCTCGCGCCGGTCATCACGGGTACAGGACGAGTCGGCCATGAGGGCAGCGCCACTGATGATGCTCTCCAAGCGCTCCTCCAGAGACGGGCGGAAACGCTCCTCCCTAAACGCCAGGGGGTCCACGATGATCTGCTTCTGTTGGAGGGTGGGAGAGAGTTAGAAAACAGAGAGTGCGAGGGGGCGCGAGATGGAGGGGGAGAGATATGTTTACATGTTAGGTCTTTAAGCAGACGCTCTTATCCAGAGCGACTTACAGGAGCAATTAGGGTTAAGTGCCTTGCTCAAGGGCACCGACAGATTTTTCACCTAGTCGGCTCTGGGATCAGAACCAGCGACCTTTCGAGTACTGGCACAACGCTCTTAACCATTAAGCTACCTGTCGCACGAGGGGGAGAGAGATCGATAGAGTGAGGTAGAGGAGAGACAGAGATGGATATATATAGTCAGACAGGAGAGAGACAGAGATGGATATATATAGTCAGACAGGAGAGAGACAGAGATGGATATATAGTCAGGCAGGAGAGAGACAGATTTGACAGACTGACAGGCCCTCTGTTAAACCTGCAGGGAAGTTTGACGTCTAAACTGTCATTATTTTCAAAAGACCCAGAGGCCTCACAGACCAAGACGATGGATACCTTATATAGTTTAGACAGCGTCCCAAATGGCACCCTAGTCCCTAGATAGTACACTCCTTTGGACCAGGGCACATAGGGCTCTGGTCAAAAGTGGGTGCCATTTGGGACGCCATCTTAGTTTGAGGCCCAGAGGTGCAGGGTGGTAGATAGAGGAGATCAGTCTGAGCCCTGATGTGAAGCAGACAACAACAGAAAACACTACTGTGGTGAATGAGTTGAGTTTGGTGTCCTGTCCTACCCTACCCTGGGAGGTCAGAAGCACTGCTTATTTCCTGTTCTACCTGTTAACTGCATCCACTGGGTGTCCCATGTCTAAACCCATCCCTGGTTAGAGGGGGGCTGTTGAACTGGCTTAGAGGTCCAGATTTGAATTTGAGGGATAACGTTCACATGGTGCCATTTAGGACTGTGTCTGAGGGGTTTATGGTTTGTTTCAAATCAGGGAACTGCTTTAGCTAGAAGAGTGTTTCTGATGGGGTTTATATCTGACTGCTTTAGCTAGTGACTGATGGGATTTATATCTGACTGCTTTAGCTAGTGACTGATGGGATTTACATCTGACTGCTTTAGCTAGTGACTGATGGGATTATACTGACTGCTTTAGCTAGTGACTGATGGATTACATCTGACTGCTTAGCTAGTGACTGATGGGATTTACATCTGACTGCTTTAGCTAGTGACTGATGGGATTTACATCTGACTGCTTTAGCTAGTGACTGATGGGATTTACATCTGACTGCTTATAGTAGTGACTGTGGGATTTACATCTGACTGCTTTAGCTAGTGACTGATGGGATTTACATCTGACTGCTTTAGCTAGTGACTGATGGGATTTACATCTGACTGCTTTAGCTAGTGACTGATGGGATTTACATCTGACTGCTTTAGCTAGTGACTGATGGGATTTACATCTGACTGCTTTAGCTAGTGACTCAGTGACTGATGGGGTTCATCACTGGTTAAAACATTCAACTAGTCAGAAGTTAGAATTCCGGGTTTATTAGCTAGCCCACCCCCCGCCACCCCCCCCTCCGTCACGTCTGACCTCCTCCGTTTTTGAGTGTCAATTCATCATGTCAACAAGGCTCTCTCTGGGTGTGTGTTTCGGCGGTGCTTGAAATTAGGCACCTTGGCACAGAGAGGGGGATCTGGCCTGGAATTAATGCAGAGGCGCTGTGAGCTAAAATAGAAAGAAAAAAAACTAAAACCGCATGGTCCCCAGGAAATTACTGATGAACAAGATCTGAGGTGCTGCTGCTATGATGATGCTAATAACCTGCTGGTCTTCCATCAGCGCCTCTCCTCCTCTCCATCTCACGTGTCCTCTTCATCTTTCTGTCTCTTTTTTTTTTATACACATCCCATCTGGCTGTGCTGTGGAGAGTAATCAAGCCACTTAATCAAGCCACTGTACTTCCTAAGCCTGAGCCGTTCTGTTCTGACTGAGCTCAAACACAGCACCTCCGCACCTCCCAGCTCACCCCTCCCCCCCAGGAAGTAATCTGTTACTATAAATTATTGACTTCATGAACCTTGTTTCTTAAGCTACATATGTTAACGGGGGCTATTTTAGCACTTTTCTGGGATGCTTGACTGTTTTTATTGCTTTACTGGGAAGCTTAGCAGCAGTAGATGTGCTCATGTTATTTATGTTAGTGCAGGGTGAGCTGCACACAGTGGACTTCCTGCTAGGGCACACCGCCTCAGTGCTAACAGTATAACTCTGGTTCATAGGCACATGATTACTGCATCCAACAGCTGTGGGATCAGCAGAGGCATTCAGGGCAGTAAGAGGGACATAAATTAGGTTACTTACATTGTGTCTTCCAACGCCCCTGATGTAATGTACATTTGCTGAAGCATTATGACAACTCAGCGACACAATGGTAGGGATTAAATGAGCTGGGCTTGGGTCATTGATAAATTATTGTCTCAACACTGCCTTATCATGCTGTGAAAGGATCCAGGAACCCAAATTATTTGGGTGGATCCCATCCTCCTTATAATACGAGCTTTGTTTCCAGAAGGTATCAAAATTGTCAATGAATGTTACACCCACAGAGCTGCAATAGTCTCGTAGCCAGTTATGGAGGGCTAAAAGTCTGCTGAAACGTTCAATGCCACGATTTAGGGAGGGCAGAGGGCCAGATATTATGGGGTGTTTGTTGGTGTCAAGTAGAGACCCAATCAGTTCTTTAAAGTCATTCTTCAGCTGTTCTGAGCTGCCCTTCATAATGTCATTGAATCCCACATGAACTATGATAGACTCGATTTCCTGATGCTGGGTTTAAAATGTTTGGGAGCAGCTTATTGATGTCCTGTAGTCGTGCTCCTGGATAGCACCGTTTTTGCTCCAGGGACTGAGACATTTTTCACCATTGAACTGCCCAATACAACGGCTGGAGAAGGGAACGGCGATCTCCACCCACTCCCACCCCTCACACAATTAGTTGAGTCTGTCACAGGCCCACGAGAAACAGGATAGCGTACGCCCGCTGCTACCTGGCGATAGGTCTGGACATCCCACAGCAGGCAGTGCCTTCGGTCCACGACTTGTAAAATGGGACCAGTGCTGATTGGAACCTTCTACTTCACTACAGGATTGAGGAGGAGACACAAAGGAGACGTTTTCCTTGGCAGAACCAGAGACAGGAAAAGGAGAGGGAAAGGAGAGGGAAAGGAGAGGGGCAGGTGAATACCAAGCAGCACAGGCCATTCGGACAGATGACAAGGCGGGGAAACATCCATCAGGCCCAAACGGCATCCAGAATGAGAAAAGTTCAAATTTGCGTAGAAAGCCTTCCCAGTGGCTGAATGGAGGCCAGTCCCAGCAGCAATGTTCATCTAGTGGAAAGCCTTCCCAGAAGAGTGGAGGCTGTTATAGCAGCAAAGGGGGGGGGGGGGGACAAACTCCATATTAATGCCCATGATTTTGGAATGAGATGTTGGACGAGCAGGTGTCCAGATACTTTTGGTCATGTGGTGTACATAGCTCTGGCACTCTCTATTTTAACTCTTCTCTACATAGCGTCAGACCCAAGAGAAAAGCCTGCACCTGCTGTACGGTCTGTCCTAAATGGGACCCTTAACTTATAATGCACTACTTTAGACCGGAGCCTATAGGGATTTCCTCTCTGCATTTTAGGACAACAGTAAAATTCCTCTAGATTAAAATCCAAAATATTTAATAATCTATTGGCAAAAGGATAGGGTCGAAGCTGAGGCTTTGCCCTGTTCACGACCAAATGAACAATCTGGGATTTTGCCACCATCTGTGAAACCCTGAGATCAAATCTTACAGGTTTGTTTTGGGGGTCAGCAGCAGTAAAGGCAGCATTAATCTGATCCAATCCTGGATTACAAGGCTTCCTGGACTGAGTTCAATCAAACACACATGTCAACGGCTTTAAAGCTTTACAGGCATATTTACAAAGGGAGAGAGGGGACGAAAGAGAGCGAGGTGAAGAGAGCGAGGGGAAGAAAGTAGGGGATATGTTTTATTTTAACCCATCCCAACACCCCACTATAGTAGGGGACTAGACTTACGTCAAAGTTGTTGAGCGCGTAGGCCAGCTCCCCTCCCCCGGCAGGGTGGTTGAAGGCAGCATCATCTGAGGCGGTGGCCTGGGCAGCGTTAGAGATGCCGGAGACAGCTTGCTGAAGCTGCTTGTAGATCAGGTCCCGGTTCGCCTGGAGAACGGAATTAAACTCAATGTTATTTACAACTAAAGATAATAAATACATCAACAAGATGTGGCTTTGAAGTGCTTTGAGATTCTGTATGTAATGAAATGTGCTATTGAAGTTAACGTATTATCATTTCATCCCAAACGATAGTTCTTGAAAGCATTACATTAAAACAGTTTCAAGGACCACTTACGGGGCCATAATGGTAAAACAAACATCTAAAAGGACAAAGTTACAAAACATTACAGACCTTGTATGCGGCCACGTCCGGGTGTTGGAGGCAGGCGCGTGAGGCGGTGTAGAGCATGGGAATGTTCCTCTGGAGAACACCGCGGGCAGCCGCCATCTGATCCTTATGGTGAACATCCTTCAACTCCTACAGAGAGGGAGAGACAATGTGTATTATTACACTATCTGAAAACATTAAATTACGACAGACAGACAGGACCAGACAGGACCGGACCAGACCAGACCAGACCAGACCAGACCGGACCAGACAGGACCAGACCAGACAGGACCAGACCAGACAGGGCCAGACAGGACCAGACCAGACAGGGCCAGACAGGACCAGACCAGACAGGACCAGACCAGACAGGACCAGACCAGACAGGACCAGACCAGACAGGACCAGACCAGACCGGACCAGACAGGACCAGACAGGACCAGACAGGACCAGACAGGACCAGACAGGACCAGACCAGACCGGACCAGACAGGACCAGACCAGACAGGACCAGACCTGACCAGACCAGACAGGGCCGGACCGGACCAGACAGGACCAGACAGGACCAGACAGGACCAGACAGGACCAGACAGGACCAGACCAGACCAGACAGGACCAGACAGGACCAGACCAGGACCAGACCAGACAGGACCAGACCAGACAGGACCAGACCAGACAGGACCAGACCAGACAGGGCCAGACCAGACAGGGCCAGACCAGACAGGGCCAGACCAGACAGGGCCAGACCAGACAGGGCCAGACCAGACAGGGCCAGACCAGACAGGGCCAGACAGGACCAGACCGGACCAGACAGGACCAGACAGGACCAGAAAGAAAAGGAGCTCAGAGAGAAGAGAAGACTGAGTTGATCATTCAGATTCAAGAAAGTCACGTTACGCCCTCATGACAGAGAGCCGCTTGGCCTGAGCGACCTAGATTCTCCTCTCCGCCCGTCTGTCATTCCCCTGTGGTGATACAGCACACAGTCATCATCATACCATTCCAATAGGCCCTGCCGTACAGCTCTAAACGCACAGCTCTGTACTACTGGCTCCCAGCGTTATGGTTTTTATAGAAGAGCCAGGGAGACAGCACAGCACCGCTGCCTCCCCAATGACACCCTATTCCCCATACAGTGCACTATAGGCCCTAGTCAAAAGTGCACTATATAAGAAATAGGGTGCCGTTTAAAATGCAGCCAAGAACTAGGCAGAATAAACTTGTGGTCCTCTGTAGCTCAGCTGGTAGAGCACGGCGCTTGTTACGCCAAGGTAGTGGGTTCAATCCCCGGGACCACCCATACACAAAAAAAATTATGCACGCATGACTGTAAGTCGCTTTGGATAAAAGCGTCTGCTAAATGGCATATTATTATTATTATTATTATTATTAAACTGATGGCATAAATGAAATCAACATTGGCCCCTGCCTCACGCACAAGTGTATGGATGTACCTTCACACTGCAGGAGGAATTGAATCGCACACAGATTGGTGTATCTCAAGTTTATATTAGTCTACTAACAAAAGAAAGGTACACATTTATTTACAACAACCTGGTTGGTTTGGTGCTAAACCAACACGAGACTGGAAAGACAAAATAGGAAAATTAACATTCATGATGAATTCCCCAGGTGATATAGCGGCATCACCAGGCTGTTCGGATAGGACAAAGTGAAATATAATAATGAAGACTATGGAGATTATTCTGTAATCTGTGTGTGTGAATCCTATCCGAACAGCCTGGTGATGCCGCTATATCACCTGGGGAATTCATCATGAAACTGCACTGACGGAGACCCGTTCCCATCTCTACATAATGGATCTGGTCACCCTGTGCTGCCTGCATCCAGCCTGTATACATCCTCTGTTCTCTCACTCCCTCATCTCTGTTGAGCACCAACTAACAAGATCCTATTGAGGCATTCTAGCATGGCATTTCCATATTTCCTACTCTGAAGTGCGCGTGTGCAATAACTCAATTCGCCTTTTTTTCCACTCCTAAAACAGCACCATTTTTTAAATAACTTTGGCAAAGGGCAAAGTCTACAAAACTTAGTCCACTCTGTTCGTAACAGATTCCTATTTTTGGGGAAAATAAAACTGTATTGAGATCAAAAATGTTTCATCGATGAGAACATTTGCAGAACGTCGGCCAAAATCCACCTTGTTCCATCTTCTCCCACTGCCGGCCACCGGGCTTCCTCTCACTACCATATTTGGTAGCGAGTAGAAAGGACAAGCGGATGCTTCACATTTATACTGGAGGTGAAATATCCGTCTCATTGTTCTGTGACGTTTACGTGAGGATGCAGAAATTATTTTGTTTAGCTAGCTTGCTAGTAGCCTGTTATAATATGAATGACACTATGATAGCGTTACTGTACTTTTATAATAGCATGGGAGGGGTAAAAGTTCATTATTGATATGCTAACATTGCTTGATCATGAAGCATGTTAGCTAGCCAACAGGAGTTAGCTGTGCATCGTCACCTCATTTAATGTTGCACGGCAAGAAAATAAACCCTTTGTCTGCTTGTGGATTGTAGCATTATTCAAGAGTGTAATATGGTTTGGTTGCATTATTCAATATTGTAAAAATGTTTTAGAAGAAAAGTTGCTTGGATTGTTAAATAGCATGTGCTTAGAGGCTAGTGGGTACTGTGATATTTACGGTCAATCTGAGCTGCGGACCCAGAATGTCGCGTTGCCAGCCACACAACGAAAGGTAAGACCGTAATGTGAATTGAAAAGTAGAAATCTCTTTCGTCACTCAGGCTCTCCATCTCCCGTAGTGGAAATAGGGCCTCAGTAGCTAAGCAACCTACTAACATCCATCTCCCATGTTTCTCTCAGTCCCTCGCTACATCTCTCCACCCTCTATCTCTGTCACACCATCGCCTACCCTTCATAGCACTTCACCCCACCCCGACTGTCATCTCCCACTCCAGCCCAGACACCTCCCTTAGTACAGACATGACTGCTGTCTCCTGACAGCACCCCCCCCCCCCCCCCCAATCAGACAGTCCAGTACATACCTGCTGTCTCTTGGCAGCCATCATGTTGAGTTTGTCCACCTCTGGTTTCAAGGCCTTGTACTGGATGCCCAGGTCCTGCTCTGTTCCAGCGTTACGCACCTTCACCAGGTTCTCCTCCACCTGGAGGGGTTACAGAGGAACACACCTGGTTTAGATTGGAACACAGGCAGGGCTCTCCCCAAAGAATGGAAGCGGGACGCTGCGCCACCTTGTGGGTCATTTGAGAAGTTCTGAGAGACGCTGGAAAGATCAGAGGAGAAAAATCATGATCTCCTTATTTGATCATGTCAGCGGTGGGTTTTGAATGGCACAATGGGAATGTACTCCGGAGAACACTAGGTTCAATGCTCACACACGCTCAAACAGCTCCTTATATTCAGATCCTAGCTTGCATTTCACATGAAAGGGTCCGTCCCAAATGGCACCCTATCCCCTACACAGTGCACTACTTTGACCAGGGCCCACAGGTTTGTGCTCTCTAGGGCATAGGGCTCTGGTCAAATGTATTGCACTATGTACAGTATGAAAAATGTATGCACTCACTAACTGTAAGTCGCTCTGGATAAGAGCGTCTGCTAAAATGACTAAAATGTAAATGTAAATATGGAAAAAGGGTGCCATTAGGGATTAAAACTAAATCTGTGCTGGGAAGGCTGTTCTTTCCGTGAGCTGTCACAGTCAACATGCCTCCCTCCACTCAACAGTCCATTAAAAAGACCCAGTGCCTAGACTGCAGTAATATGGTAAATGATTCAATAGCTGCTAGCCCTCAATCTTTACCATAAAAAATACACTAGCTATATATCAGCATGAAATGCACATGCACACAGTACTATACCTAGTTGACCTTTGTTAATATTGGAAAGAAGGAAAAAAGGCCTCCCATGTAGAGCGGATGAACTACAGGTTAAATCAAAAATAAGAAAGTGTGGTCCTGTGTAGCTCAGCTGGTAGAGCACGGCGCTTGTAACGCCTAGGTAGTGGGTTCGATCCCCGGGACCACCCATACACAAAAATGTATGCACGCATGACTGTAAGTCGCTTTGGATAAAAGCGTCTGCTAAATGGCATATTATTATTATTATTATTATTATAATAAAGAGACACCTTCCTGAAATACACCACATGACCAAAAGTATGTGGACACCTGCTCATCCAATATCTCATTCCAAAATCATGGGCATTAATATGAAGTTGGTCCCCCCTTTGCTGCTATAACAGCCTCCACTCTTCTGGGAAGGCTTTCCACTAGATGTTTGAACATTGCTGCTGGGACTGGCCTCCATTCAGCCACAAGAGCATTAGTGAGGTCGGGCGCTGATTTTGGGCGATTAGGCCTGGCTCGCAGTCGGTGTTCCAATTCCTCCCAAAAGGTGTTCGATGGGGTTGAGGTCAGGGCTCTGTGCAGGCCAGTCAAGTTCTTCCACACCGATCGACAAACCATTTCTGTATGGACCTCGCTTTGTGCACGGGGGCAGGTAGCGTTCTCCTGGCATCCGCCAAATCCAGATTAGTCCGTTGGACTGCCAGATGGTGAAGCGTGATTCATCACTCCAGAGAACGTGTTTCCACTGCTCCAGAGTCCAATGGCGGCGAGCTTTACACCACTCCAGCCGACGCTTGGCATTACGCATGGTGATCTTACACCTCGATCACACCGACAGCGTCATTGCATTTTGGTACACCAAAAGTACATTCATTCCCAATGGAACGCTGTGTTTGACTTGCAGCATTGCGTTGCAGAGGCAGCTGCAGTGCGTTCAGTGTGGCTGTACACTGTATGAGTAGACGGCTTGACAGAAATGGTAGCAGAGGGTGAATGTTGAACTTTTGTTGCACACATATCCAGATGATGCGGTGTACCATTTTGCGCAATGACGCTGTAGGTGTGGGTGTGATCGTGGCATTAGGCTTGTGTGCGGCTGCTCGGCCATGGAAACCCATTTCATGAAGCTCCCGACGAACAGTTCTTATGCTGACGTTGCTTCCAGAGGCATTTTTGGAACTCGGTAGTAAGTGTTGCAACCGAGGACAGACGATCATTACGTGCTACGCGCTTCAGCACTCGGCAGACCCGTTTTGTGAGCTTGTGTGTCCTACCACCTCGCGGCTGAGCCGTTGTTGATCCTAGACGTTTCCACTTCACAATAACAGCACTTAAAGTTGACCGGGGCAGCTCTATCAGGACAGACATTTTACAAACTGACTTGTTGGAAAGGTGGCATCCTATGATGGTGCCATGTTGAAAGTCACTGAGCTCTTCAGTAAGGCCATTCTACTGCCAATGTTTGTCTATGGAGATTGCATGGCTGTGTGCTCGATTTTAAATACCTGTCAGCAACGGGTGTGGCTGAAATAGCCGAATCCACTAATTTGAAGGGGTGTCCACATACTTTTGTATATATAGTGTACCTTTAGTAATATGAAGTTACATAAACTTCCTCCTCCTGTACAGTAAATATTATAAGTCTCAAATGGCACCCTATTCCCTATATAGTGCACTACATAAACAATAGGGTGCCGTCTGGGATGCCGCCTATGAGTCTTTACTTTAGACGTGTTTGACAGGAACAACATTTATAAACATCTCTGAATGTGCAAGGTCATGTAGCTGGGTAGCAGTCAGTGTTCCTCTGCCTAGAGAGCACAGCTTGTCTGCCCTACTGCAGCGAGTATAGGCCACATGTTAACACGATGTGACAGCTAGCTTACCGACTAGACTTTCCTTTTCACAGACAGAGGGGAGAGAGAAGGGCTGTGGTCTGTCCTAATACAGTAGCTCTAGGTAGGGCCCCTCTCATATGGGCTCTGGTCAAAAGTAGTGCACTATATAGGGAATAGGGTGCCATTTGGGGCTATTTTCTCCAGTAGCATCTCCTACAGAGCTAGTTTAGCTGCATGCTGTAGATTAGCCAGGCCTCAGGGCTAAAGGGCTGGCTGTAGATTAGCCAGGCCTCAGGGCTAAAGGGCTGGCTGTAGATTAGCCAGGTAGCTGTAGATTAGCCAGGCCTCAGGGCTAAAGGGCTGGCTGTAGATTAGCCAGGTAGCTGTAGATTAGCCAGGCCTCAGGGCTAAAGGGCTGGCTGTAGATTAGCCAGGTAGCTGTAGATTAGCCAGGCCTCAGGGCTAAAGGGCTGGCTGTAGATTAGCCAGGTAGCTGTAGATTAGCCAGGCCTCAGGGCTAAAGGGCGAGCTGTAGATTAGCCAGGCCTCGGGGCTAAAGGGCGAGCTGTAGATTAGCCAGGCCTCAGGGCTAAAGGGCTGGCTGTAGATTAGCCAGGCCTCAGGGCTAAAGGGCTAGCTGTAGATTAGCCAGGCCTCAGGGCTAAAGGGCTGGCTGTAGATTAGCCAGGCCTGAGGGCTAAAGGGCGAGCTGTAGATTAGCCAGGCCTGAGGGCTAAAGGGCTGGCTGTAGATTAGCCAGGCCTCAGGGCTAAAGGGCTGGCTGTAGATTAGCCAGGCCTGAGGCTGAGGGAGGCAGTTATGCTCTAGCTATAACTGAGGATGCCAATTTATATTACTTTTAACCACGGTTACTAGGTGTAGGTTTGCACAGTTCCCTCTCCCCAATGAAAAAAAAAAAAAAGACCAAATAAGATTGAACTACAATGCCTGGAGTAAATGTTTAACGTCTCAGGATTCAGGAACACTGTCAATATGATATGATTCTATAATCCACCCAGAGCATGCAGGTACAGTCTCTGTACGTGCGTCCTAAATCACACCCTATTCACTATGGGGCCCTTGTCAAAAAAGTAGTGCACTGCATAGGGAATAGGGTGCCATTTGGGACTCAGCCTCTGTGTATCTGGAATGCGGAAAGATAAATAATTTCAGTCTCCTGCAGTTGGCTGGCGGGCTGGCAACACCAACATGTTGCTACAGGGTGGCCAGAGCGTGCCAGGGCTTCTCCGACTCAGGGCCTCAGATATAGCTACAGCACTGCCTCAGTCTGGATGGGTCTTAAAAACAGCACCTCATTCCCTACACAGCAGGGCCCTACATAGGGAATAGGGTGCCATTCGAGATATTGGACCCTGGTCAAAAGTAGTGCACTACATTAGGGAACAGGTTGCCATTAGGGACATACTCCCAAGTATCTGGAAGGCACTAACCCAGTGAAGTGGTTGGCTATAAACAGAGCCATGATAAGGTAAAGTGGAAGAACTCAATGTTAAGAGCCAGTATGGCAACGTTTTTAAAAATAACCCCAACTAGATCACAGGGTGGAGCCCACGAGGCCATCCCACGGGATTGTGGAGGCTTTCTAACCTCAAGAGTAGAACGTAGTGCTTTTCTACCAAATCTCTCTTTCTGCTTAGTTTCACAGTTAATCATAGCATGTCTGTAGTGGCCTGGGCCCGTATTCCTAAAGCATCTCAGAGTAAGAGTGATGATCTAGCGGTCCATATAATCTATGATCTTAATAGGCCAAACTGATCCTAGATATGCACCCGGCAATCCGAGACACTAAACACACAGTCATTTTCCTTTTCAACCTGCTGTCCTGTCTGAGCTTGAAGAATGACAGATGTCGGCCATTTTAGAACCTGGCTGTAAAAAAAAAAGTGACTCCGCTTCATTGTTGACGTTGTTTGACACAATGACCTCACCGTCTGGCTGTGTCGGTGTAATTATAAAAATCAGAACAGGTTACATAGGTAGTATAGGATATGTCCACGTCCCAAATGGCACCCTATTCCCCCTATAGGCCCCGGTCAAAAGTAGTGTACTACATAGAGAATAGGAAGCCATTTGGGACGAAGACTATGATAGATGATAAACAGCAAGGTCGTCTCTGTTGTGTGTGTGGCCTCCTTGTTTAAGGTCAGGATTTAGGTTTCCTTTTAAACAGCGATAAACAGCTGAAGTACCGGTGAAGAGATCAACAAACACAGAAGACCTTGTTTGAAATGTAGGCCTTTAGCGAAGACACCAGAACGGAAGTTTGAGTCAAGCAAACTATTTACCTACAAAAATTGCTGAATAAGTAGACTTGTGTTGCTTTCTTTTAAGGTTATTTATTTGTTTTTATTTTCTTCGATGCAATAAAGAATATCTAAGTTATTCATAAGCTAGTTAAATAGATTTCCTTCAGCTATATGGGAGTTCAGTCATATCCACAAGAGCCCCCTTGAGTCATCACTACATGACTAGCTACCTCAGAATGTGACTCAAAGCCAGAGAGATGGCGCCGAGATGCAAGTTTAGAATGATTTAGTAATTCATGACGAGTTTGCTTGTGTGTCTCACCGCCAGCGCGTGTTTCTCCCTGTGTGTCTCACCGCCAGCGCGTGTTTCTCCCTGTGTGTGTCTCACCGCCAGCGCGTGTTTCTCCCTGTGTGTCTCACCGCCAGCGCGTGTTTCTCCCTGTGTGTGTCTCACCGCCAGCGCGTGTTTCTCCCTGTGTGTGTCTCACCGCCAGCGCGTGTTTCTCCCTGTGTGTGTCTCACCGCCAGCGCGTGTTTCTCCCTGTGTGTGTGTCTCACCGCCAGCGCGTGTTTCTCCCTGTGTGTGTGTCTCACCGCCAGCGCGTGTTTCTCCCTGTGTGTGTGTCTCACCGCCAGCGCGTGTTTCTCCCTGTGTGTGTCTCACCGCCAGTGCGTATTTCTCCCTGTGTGTGTCTCACCGCCAGCGCGTGTTTCTCCCTGTGTGTGTCTCACCGCCAGCGCGTGTTTTCTCCCTGTGTGTGTCTCACCGCCACGCGTGTTCCTCCCTGTGTGTGTCTCACCGCCAGGCGTGTTTCCTCCCTGTGTGTGTCTCACCGCCAGCGCGTGTTCCTCCCTGTGTGTGTCTCACCGCCAGCGCGTGTTCCTCCCTGTGTGTGTCTCACCGCCAGCGCGTGTTTCTCCCTGTGTGTGTGTGTCTCACCGCCAGCGCGTGTTCCTCCCTGTGTGTGTGTGTGTGTGTGTGTGTGTGTGTGTGTGTGTGTGTGTGTGGTGTGTGTGTGTGTGTGTCTCACCAGTTTGAGTTGCAGCAGCAGCTTGTAGACGTCAGACATGTCGGCCAGCACCAGCAGGTGAGTGACAGCAGAGAGGAGGGCCCTGGCGGCACGGACCATGTTACCCCTCTTGACCGAGGAACACGGGTCCTCCGCAAACTCTCCTGATGCCTGCTTCATGGATTCACCTGAGAGAGACAGAGGGAAAGACAGGATATTACAGTTAAGACATGTTAAAGTTCCAAATGACACCCTATATAAGGAAGCATTGTCCGAGCCAGAACAGCCCATAGGTCCTGGTGAAAAGTAGTGCACTTTAAAGGGAATAGGGTACCTACATGTTTAAGTGAAGGAGACCAGAGAGAGAGAGAGGCCATTCATTAACATGTCAACTGCAGAGAGCCTCTCAGGGCAGAGTGAAGTGAGGAAGATATTATATTGGCTCAGTGGGTTGGAGCTCAGTGTTACACAAAATACAAAACGCCACAAAGTGCTGGTCCATGTTTTGAACTGAATAAAAAGTTCCCCGAAATTTTCCATACGCACAAACGGCTTATTTCTCTCAAATGTTGTGCACAAAGTTACAGTTACATATTATTACCTAGCAACCTGTTCTGAAATATAACAATTTTCATAAGTTTCATATATTTTTATTGTAGAGGATGGGGCTGGGGGGAAATGAAGGATGCAGACTGTCGGGTTGATGGCCAAAGCTCTGAATGCCAGGGCTGATATCCTATAGCATTAATGTTTCATATCTATAGATCTCTGCTATCTTTATGTTTAAATGTTGCATTTGTTTACAATAACAAACAATGGAATTAAATGCCCCTATATTTTTGGGTTATCATTAAGTAAAATAGTTAGTGCTAAACTCATGAGATATAAGTTATATGAGAATGAATGTGTTTTATTATAGGGTCTTTAAAACATAAAGAAAGCATGCTGAAACTCTAAATTGTATCTGTAAATAACTAATTGTGTAATCATTTGCAAAACAGTTTTATGAGCAATTTATTTTTATAAATCATTTATTAAAAGTAAATGTATTAAATGTGTATAATAATAATAATAATAATAATAATAATAATAATAATAAGCTCAGCTGGTAGAGCACGGCGCTTGTAACGCCAAGGTAGTGGGTTCGATCCCCGGGACCACCCATACACAAAAAAAAAAAAATGTATGCACGCATGACTGTAAGTCGCTTTGGATAAAAGCGTCTGCTAAATGGCATATTATTTTATTATTATAAGTACTTTATTTTGTCTTAGTTTTTTTCCCTTAGAAAATGCAGTGAAAACGGATGGAAGCATTGACCGGTGCTGCAGGTGTCTGCAAGAAGCTGGTGGGTCACTTCTCTCACAGCTACCTTCACATCAGAATGCCAAACAAGATGAGGTCCAGACAGAAGGTGATCTAACAGGATACCAGAGCAGCAGAAGGCTATAACTCAGGTCCTGTCTGAGGACAGGAAGACTGAGGACAGGAAGACTGAGGCAGCAGGATACCAGAGCAGCAGAAGGCTATAACTCAGGTCCTGTCTGAGGACAGGAAGACTGAGGACAGGAAGACTGAGGCAGCAGCAGAAGGCTATAACTCAGGTCCTGTCTGAGGACAGGAAGACTGAGGACAGGAAGACTGAGGCAGCAGCAGAAGGCTATAACTCAGGTCCTGTCCGAGGACAGGAAGACTGAGGCAGCAGCAGAAGGCTATAACTCAGGTCCTGTCCGAGGACAGGAAGACTGAGGCAGCAGCAGAAGGCTATAACTCAGGTCCTGTCTGAGGACAGGAAGACTGAGGCAGCAGCAGAAGGCTATAACTCAGGTCCTGTCCGAGGACAGGAAGACACAGCATCTAATTCTAACCTGGCAAGATACGGATGTCCTGGAATCCGTCAGTTGAGTCACTGGGCCCACTGCTGGACTTCACAGATGCACTCTCAGGAGAAGACTATGTTAGTGTCTCATATGTGAAGCCAGTTCTTCACCTCTTCAACACTTCAATGCTGCTAATACTCCCGAGTGGCGCAGTGGTCTAAGGCTAGCCGTGCCACTAGAGATCCTGGAGGGAGAGACCCATGGGCGGCGCACAATTGGTCCAGAGTCGTCCAAGGTAGGGGAGGGTTTGGCCGGCAGGGATGTGGGTTAGTTTCCCACGGTGGGCCAGTATGAAAAAATAAAAATACATGTATTCATTCACTAACTATGTCGCTCTGGATAAGAGCATCTGCTAAATGACTAAAATGTAATACAAGAGGGAGACACAGACTTCACTAAGACCTTGAAAACTGAGATGTTACACTACATCAACAAGAAATATAGAGACGAAGCTACTCAGGAGCCGCTAGATGCTAGCTTCTTGTTTGGACCCCCGGTTCAAGATGGACTTGATCAGTGAAGACAACAAGCCCCGAGTCAAGGCCAGAGTGGTGTCAGAAATGATGGAACGCCAGGAGGAGACGTCAAGCAGCAGCACTGAAGTGGAGCCTGAAGTTGCTGATGCGTCCCAGGCAAAGAAAGCCAAGAAGTCCTTGGGAAGTTTATTTAAACAGAGTTGCAGCAAAGGGTGATTCCTCTCTGAGCCACAAGGACGCTGTGGAAGCAGAATTAAACAACTACCTGCTAACACCTTCCTTAGACAAAAGAGGAAGATCCACTTGCATGGTGGAAAACGCAGAGTAAAGCTTTCCACATCTCGCCAAGCTTGCCCGCAAGTATCTATCCATTCACGCTACAAGTTCCCCCTCAGAGAGGCTTTTCAGTACAAGTGGCAACATTGTCACTTGCCAACGGTCATGTCTCAAGCCTGTAATGGTGAATAGACTGGTATTCGTGGCCAAAAACCTTCAAGTTTGAGTGAGCAACGTATACATGCTTAAAGTCAAGTTATTATATTTGAATAGAATTTAGATTTACTATATTATTCTACAGTTGTGAGAAAGAAATGTATTTCTTTTACTAGGTAAACTCTGTTTAGAAAGAAACCAGATTTTATACAGTTGAAAAGTTTAATTAAAAAAAAATAATAATAATAATTTTAAAAAAACAAATTTTTAAATCGCCATTTGTCTAGCCATGATGATCAACACTGTTGCTAAGAAAAGTTTATTTTAAAAACAGAAGTGTGTAAAATACAAATGGTTGTGTGTTGATATTTGTCATTCATGTTAAGTTCATTGGTATTTATTAGTTAGGTTTTGCTTTTATTATTACAAATGATTTGTTTTATAAAAACACTGTATTTTGTTTTTGTAAACCAACTCAGGAGTATAGCTATATGTGTATAGCTGCTCTTTTTCATGTGTCTAATGGTTTAAATTAAAATATATCTGTTTCTATTTTCAAAAAGGAGGTTTGTAATTTAATTTGTAATGTAATAAAATGTTAAATGACTTTTTGATTTGATTTTGTCATTCACATGAATTCCCTAGTGTGATGAAACTTCCTCCGTGGAGAAGGCTCTGTTTTAACCTGGTTGGAGTACTGAGATAAAGCCTCCTGTAATCTCCTGGATCCCCTTATAGACACCACACCTCTTCATTCACAAAGGAGCCCCTATATTTTAGGGTAAGCAACATGCATTATTAATATCATAACGTGTTAAGAATCATTGACTTTAGCCTGAATTGATAGAAAAGTATTACATGAATACAATGGAACCGTGGTGAATTAAACAGTGTATTAATTCATATAATAAATTAAAACTACCCAAAATAAGTTAAGGTAAAAAGTATTTTTCAGTTTCATTTTCATTTTCCATGAAGATGCAGTTCCCTACAAAATCACCCCGATCATTCTAGAATAATTAATTATTCTCAAAGAGCTTTTCAAGTCATCTGGTGATTTTTTTTATTTTTTTTCATATCGCAATATATAAAATCGCAGAAAAACAAAATATCGCAATGTCAGTTATTTCCAATATCGTGCAACCCTAATACATATACACACACATACATATATAGTTGAATCAGTGAGCTGTTTAAATCAGACCATTGTCATCAGATGTGTGCCTGCCTGCATACTTCACAACATCTTTTCTAAGCAGCCAGTCACTAACTACTGCTCACTTGGGTTGTATCTGTCTGTGTCTGTTTATTCATCCATGGATAAACTGATGCGTGGCTGGCGGGCAGCGTTTCAACCATATCTACCTTTGCACAGGCGGAACATGGTACGAAGACTGAAAACTATGCTAGATTTGTTTCAGTGCATCATTTTGATACGGACACCCTAGAGTGGAATTTGGCGAAGGCTTTGCGCCCTACCAATGAAGAAATATCTAGAGCAGGCGTCTGGGACAGCCTAATCTTAACTAAACCATTTAATCTAAACTATTTACCAATTGGCTTAGCTAGTCTTTGTTGGTTTTTACAGCTTTTGCTGGTATTTGGCCTTCTCCCTCTGTCCACCCTCTCAAAACTGAAATAATTACCCATGAACCTCTGCTCCTCCGCAGGCAGTGGCACACAAATGTAAGTATGCTGCAGCTAATGTCAGCCCCAGAAAAAAAAAAAATCTCACTCTCTCCCCCTGCCAGCCCAGAAGTACATTAAGAGAGAAAATGTAACTTCCTTTTAATCATCATATTCCACTCCCCTAGCCCAGGCTACTGAGTGAGTCCCAAATGGCATCCTATTCCCTATATAATGCATTACTATAGGCCCTGGTCTAAAGTAGTACACAATATAGGGTGTAGGGTGTCATTTGGGGCGTATCCACTGCAGCCCACTGCTGTACTGCAGGGCCTGATACCAGCCAAGGCCTCAGAGCAGAGCACAGTAGAGGCTGGTTGGGATCCAGGCTAAGAGTTAATTGCATTAGAAAGTCATTTCAGATGAGAAGGGCATGAGGGGGGGAGACGAGAAGAGAGAGGGAGGAGGAGAGAAGAGAGGGGGGGGGGAGGAGAGCAATGGAGACGGGCAGGGGGAGGAGAGAAGAGGGGGGGGGGGGGGATGGGGGGGGGGGCGGAGAAGAAGAGGGAGGAGCCAGAAAGGGGGACAGGGAGGAGGAAGAAGGAGAGGAGAAGAAGAGAGGGAGAGGAGAGGGAGGAGGGAGGATGCGAGGAGAGAGACCGAGAGGGGGGAAGACAGAGGGGGGAAGAGAGGGAGGAAGGGGGCGAGAGGGGGGAAGAGAGGGGGAGAGGAAGCAGAGGGGGGGAGAAGAGCGGAGAGGAGAGGGGGGAGGAGAGGAGAGAGGGGGGGGAAGAGAGGGGGGAGAAGGAGGGGGGAGAAGAGAGGGGGGGGAGGAAGAGAGGGGGGGAGGGGAGAGGGAGGAGGAAGGGGGGGGAAGAGAGGGGGGAGGAGGAGAGAAGGGGGGGAGAAGAGAGGAGGGGGGGGAGGAGGAGAGAAGGGGGGGAGAAGAGGGAGGGGGGAAGGAGGAGAGAGGGGGGGAGAAGAGAGGGAGGGAGAAAGAGAGGGAGAGGGGGGGGAAGAGGGAGAAGGAGAGAGGGGGGGAGAAGAGAGGGAGAGGAGAGAGGGGGGGAGAAGAGAGGGGGGAGAGAGGGGAGGAGAGAGAGAGAAGGGGGGGAGAGAAGAGAAGGGGGAGAGGAGAGAGAGGGGGGGAGGAGAGAGGGGGGAGAAGAGAGAGGAGAGGAGGGGAGAGAGGGGGGGAGAGGAGAGAAGGAGGAGGGAGAGAGAGGGGGGGAGGGAGGGGGGGAGGAGGAGAGAGGGGGGGAAAGAGGGGAGGAGAGAGAAGGGGGGGGGGGGGGGGGGGGGTGGAAGAGCAGTCTGATGCAGGGTAAGTCCAAACAGACCAAGACCTAACCATACAGGCAGTGACCTCAGACACACTGCGAGCAACGTAACACAGATTCTGCCAGCGACCCAACACGCAACAGTTAAAAGGAGGTCAAATCCATGACAAAGGCTGGCTGTCTGATTCATCCAGCACAATGTTTTGTCCCACCACTAGAAAACACAGTCAACTGGGAACACAAATGAGGTTCCTAGCCTCACACTACTATCTAGACTACACAAGCAGACACTCCGTTTGCTAAATGTGCCAGGCATGTCCTGTGTGTTACAGCTGAATTAGCCTGGCCTACTATGCCCTTCATGCCAGAAAACACTGCTTTCCACACCATCAAACACACTGCTTGTTAGTGGAGAGACACACAATTACATCTTAAAATCAAAGTAAACCAAAAGGGGGAGAAGACCAGTTTGTGAAATCATTCTAGTGTAATAGTCTACGTGTGTTAACGTCATCTGGTATAATATGCCATTTAATATGCCATTTAGCAGACGCTTTTATCCAAAGCGACTTACAGTCATGTGTGCATAACTTTTTACGTATGGGTGGTCCCGGGGATCGAACCCACAACCCTGGCGTTACAAGCGCCATGCTCTACTTTAATAATAGTGTGTTACGTCATCTGGTATAATAATAATAAAGCAGTGTGTTACGTCATCTGGTATAATAATATAAAGCAGTGTGTTAAGTCATCTGGTATAATAATAAAAGTAGTGTGTTACGTCATCTGGTATAATAATAAAAGTAGTGTGTTACGTCATCTGGTATAATAATAAAGCAGTGTGTCGTCATCTGGTATAATGATAAAGCAGTGTGTTACGTCATCTGGTATAATAATAATAATAATAAAGCAGTGTGTTAAGTCATCTGGTATAATAATAAAGCAGTGTGTTACGTCATCTGGTATAATAATAAAGTAGTGTGTTACGTCATCTGGTATAATAATAAAGTAGTGTGTTACGTCATCTGGTATAATAATAAAGTAGTGTGTTACGTCATCTGGTATAATAATAAAGCGGTGTGTTACGTCACCTGGTATAATAATAAAGTAGTGTGTTACGTCACCTGGTATAATAATAAAGCAGTGCGTTACGTCATCTGGTATAATAATAAAGTAGTGTGTTACGTCATCTGGTATAATAATAAAGTACTGTGTTACGTCATCTGGTATAATAATAAAGTAGTGTGTTACGTCATCTGGTATAATAATAAAGTAGTGTGTTACGTCATCTGGTATAATAATAAAGTAGTGTGTTACGTCATCTGGTATAATAATAAAGTGGTGTGTTACGTCATCTGGTATAATAATAAAGTGGTGTGTTACGTCATCTGGTATAATAATAAAGTGGTGTGTTACGTCACCTGGTATAATAATAAAGCAGTGTGTTACGTCATCTGGTATAATAATAAAGTAGTGTGTTACGTCATCTGGTATAATAATAAAGCAGTGCGTTACGTCACCTGGTATAATAATAAAGCAGTGCGTTACGTCACCTGGTATAATAATAAAGTAGTGTGTTACGTCACCTGGTATAATAATAAAGCAGTGTGTTACGTCATCTGGTATAATAATAAAGTAGTGTGTTACGTCATCTGGTATAATAATAAAGCAGTGCGTTACGTCACCTGGTATAATAATAAAGCAGTGCGTTACGTCACCTGGTATAATAATAAAGCAGTGCGTTACGTCACCTGGTATAATAATAAAGCAGTGTGTTACGTCACCTGGTATAATGATAAAGCGGTGTGTTACGTCACCTGGTATAATAATAAAGCAGTGTGTGTTACGTCATCTGGTATAATAATAAAGCAGTGTGTTACGTCACCTGGTATAATGATAAAGCGGTGTGTTACGTCACCTGGTATAATAATAAAGCAGTGTGTGTTACGTCATCTGGTATAATAATAAAGCAGTGTGTTACTTCACCTGGTATAATAATAAAGCAGTGTGTTACGTCACCTGGTATAATAATAAAGCAGTGTGTTACGTCACCTGGTATAATAATAAAGCGGTGTGTTACGTCACCTGGTATAATAATAAAGCAGTGTGTGTTACGTCATCTGGTATAATAATAAAGCAGTGTGTTACGTCATCTGGTATAATAATAAAGTAGTGTGTTACGTCATCTGGTATAATAATAAAGCAGTGTGTTAGGTCACCTGGTATAATAATAAAGCAGTGTGTTACGTCACCTGGTATAATAATAAAGTAGTGTGTTACGTCATCTGGTATAATAATAAAGCAGTGTGTTACGTCACCTGGTATAATAATAAAGTAGTGTGTGTGTCAGACTTGTTTGTGCTGCTGGGCCATAACTTATGCCAGAGGGAATGTACCAACTCTTCCAGTGGTGCTTTGTCTTGTTATATAATACAGACCTCGGTCATAATATCAGTTCATATTTGATTTTATATCGTGTATGTTTTTGCTTACGTCTTTGTCGAGCAACACTTTTTCTGCAAGGTACTACTACGCAGTGCACAGATCCCCTCGCGCACTCAACTTCATCAAGATACGTCGAGTTTCCCCTTAGGCAAGCCAGCTGTATAGCCTATTGCCTGTTTCAGTTTAGGAGTCTTTAAAACAATGTCTGTTTGCAGCTTTTCATTAAATCACGCATAGCTGTTCTTTATATGGCCTAAAATAAATGTGTTCCTATGGGCAGAATATTATCTATAGGCAATAGCATACCGAATTTTGATATGTTTTAATGAAAATATTACGGGCGGGGTGGGTGTGGAGCCAGAGGTCAAACTGTAGAACCCAGTTCCTACATTTGAACATAATTTTTTTCAAACAAAACTACATTTATGTACAATATTCTGCCCATAAATATTTATTTCACGTCATAACTGAATCAATTTATGTAGGCTATATACTAAATATTCTGCCCATATGAACAAATACAGTACTTGTAGCCATACAGGATTTAATGAAAATCAGTAAACACACATTTAATAAAAGACTCATGAACCCAATCACACAATATTAAAGAATGTGTATGTTTACTAACAGACTCAAACATACCGGCTACAGCTCGCTTCCCCGGTGCTTCACAGCTTTCCAGGGAAACTCGACATATTGTAGACTCACACGGACAAGAGAGATTAGTGGAGGAAGGAATGTGTGTCGGCTGCAGTGTTCGTGGTAAAATATTACGCGTTGTGGCGGTGCTTCAACGTTTTTTATAGATTGTATGGATGTCAGGGCTCCCTGGAAAACAGTGGTAATTGTTAAATGAGTGGACTATCCTGGCTAAAGACAAAAATACAGCCTGTCTCAGTTCCACACACATACAGACCCTACTTATAATATAATACAATTTAACATGCCATTTAGCAGACGCTTTTATCCAAAGCGACTTACAGTCATGCGTGCATAATTTTTTTTTTTGTGTATGGGTGGTCCCGGGGATCGAACCCACTACCCTGGCGTTACAAGCGCCGTGCTCTACCAGCTGAGCTACAGAGGACCACTTCCTACTTTGTAGGAACCGGCCCCAGACTGTGTCTCCTCAATTCCCCTCAGGACCAGCCCATAACACTAAATCTTATAAATTCATAATCTGTCTGCGAGAGCAAAGACACCAAAATGTTAGTGGCGAGGAAATTATTTATATAGGATTCTGTAAAAAATTTCACCACCTAACTGCAATAACGGCAGCTAAAAACCCAATGTTTCCCTTCTCGTTGCCCTCGTCTAGTCGTGGTCAAAAGTTTTGAGAATGACACAAGTATTGGTCTTCACAAAGTTTGCTGCTTCAGTGTTTAGATATTTTTGTCAGATGTTAATATGGTATACTGAAGTATAATTACAAGCATTCCATAAGTGTCAAAGGCTTTTATTGACAATTACATTACGTTTATGCAAAGAGTCAATATTTGCAGTGTTGACCCTTCTTTTACCAAGACCACTGCAATCCGCCCTGGCATGCTGTCAATTAACTTCTGGGCCACATCTTGACTGATGGCAGCCCATTCTTGCATAATCAATGCTTGGAGTTTGTCCGAATTTGTGGGGTTTTGTTTGTCCACCCGCCTCTTGAGGATCGACCACAAGTTCTCAAATGGGATTAAGGTCTGGGGAGTTTCCTTGCCATGGACCCAAAATGTCGAGGTTTTGTTCCCTGAGCCACTTAGTTATCACTTTTGCCTTATGGCAAGGTGCTCCATCATGCTGGAAAACGCATTGTTCGTCACCAAACTGTTCTTGGATGGTTGGGAGAAGTTGCTCTCGGAGGATGTGTTGGTACCATTCTTTATTCATGGTTGTGTTCTTAGGCAAAATTGTGAGTGAGCCCACTCCCTTGGCTGAGAAGCAACCCCACACATGAATGGTCTCAGGATGCTTTGCTGTTGGCATGACATAGGGCTGACGGTAGCGCTCACCTTGTCTTCTCCGGACAAGGTGTTTTCCGGATGCCCCAAACAATCGGAAAGGGGATTCATCAGAGAGAATGACTTTACCCCAGTCCTCAGCAGTCCAATCCCTGTACTTTTTGCAGAATATCAGTCTGTCCCTGATGTTTTTCCTGGAGAGAAGTGGCTTCCTTGCTGCCCTTCTTGACACCAGGCCATCCTCCAAAAGTCTTCGCCTCACTGTGCATGCAGATGCACTCACACCTGCCTGCTGCCATTCCTGAGCAAGCCCTGCACTGGTGGTGCCCCGATCACGCAGCTGAATCAACTTTAGGAGACGGTCCTGACGCTTGCTGGACTTTCTTGGGCGCCCTGAAGCCTTCTTCACAACAATTGAACCTCTCTCCTTGAAGTTCTTGATGATCCGATAAATGATTGATTTAGGTGCAATCTTACTAGCAGCAATATCCTTGCCTGTGAAGCCCTTTTTGTGCAAAGCAATGATGACGGCACGTGTTTGCTTGCAGGTAACCATGGTTAACAGAGGAAGAACAATGATTTCAAGCACCACCCTCCTTTTAAAGCTTCCAGTCTGTTATTCTAAATCAGCATGACAGAGTGATCTCCAGCCTTGTCCTCGTCAACACTCACCTGTGTTAACGAGAGAATCACTGACATGATGTCAGCTGGTCCTTTTGTGGCAGGACTGAAATGCAGTGGATATGTTTTTGGGCGATTCAGTTCTTTTTCATGGCAAAGAGGGACTTTGCAATTCATTGCAATTCATCTGATCACTCTTCATAACATTCTGGAGTATATGCAAATTGCCATCATCAAAACTGAGGCAGCAGACTTTGTGAAAATTTATATTTGTGTCATTCTCAAAACTTTTGACCACGACTGTACACGGTACACTACTTGCTGCCTAAAAATGTTTTTTGCTCTCAAAGGGTTTTGAAAATGTGACTCCGCAGCCCTGGATGCTGTTCCAGGAATCTGTTCATCCCCAATGGCAGCACATAACCAATCTAGTGACCAGAGCCCAGGTAAAGGTAGTGCACTATGTACTGAATGTGGTGCCATTTGGGACAGACACGGGAGAGACGAAGGGAGCGATGAAGGGAATGAGAGATGAAGATCATTCCAGCTGTGATGTTGTGAAGCATCAGTCAGAAGGTATGAATGAAGAGTAGAGCAGTAGAGTAGAGCCAGGCAGGCAGACAGTAGAGCCAGGCAGGCAGGCAGGCAGGTAGAGCCAGGCAGGCAGGCAGTAGAGCCAGGCAGGCAGGCAGGCAGTAGAGCCAGGCAGGCAGGCAGTAGAGCCAGGCAGGCAGGCAGGCACGTAGAAGCCAGGGCAGGCAGGCAGGGCCGGTAGAGCCGCCAGTGCAGGCACAGTAGAAGCCAGTAGAGCAGGCAAGGCAGGCAGTAGAGCCAGGCAGGACAAGGCAGTTCGAGGCAGGCAGCGCAGTAGAGCCAGGCAGGCATAGTAGAAGCCAGGCAGGGCAGTATAGCAGCCAGGCACGGCAGCAGAAGCCAAGGCAGGCAGCAGAGCCAGGCAGGGCCAGGCAGTAGAGCCAGGCAGGCAGGCTGAGATTGTTGTGAGATGAGAGCTGAGATGTTGTGAATGACTGAAGAACAAACAAGATGGAACCCCCCACCAAACTCTTCTAAAGCTAAAACCCACAACCGGAAAAAAAGTAGTTAACACGTGTGCAAAAACACATTTGAAATGCAAGCCTTTAACATGCATGGCATAGCAGCCCCCCCTCCCCTTCCTTCCCTCCCTCCCTCCCCCCCCCAACCCAAACGATTATATATGCCTTTATTTTCCCCCATTTAAAAACAGCTGGTAAGCCACAGCTGGGTACAAAATGCCTTTTACATGCACGGCATGGATGGTGAAGAGAGAGGGAAGAGAGTGGCGGGGACGGCCCAGTCAATGGCAGCATTATCAGTCTGCCCACGCTCGGCAGAACAGCGTGGCATAGTCCTGACAGGCCAGCCCTGCCACCAGCTTAATTCCTGTCCAATGACAGGGTGCGTCTCAAATGGCACCCTATTCCCTGTATAGTGCACTACTTTTGACCAGAGCCCAGGTTTCTGGTCAAAAGTAGCTCACTATAAAAGGGAATAGGGTGTTATTTGGGACGTAGATAGAATCGATGGCAGGCTGAGATTCCCCAGAGTCTGACAACACTGCTGGCACTACTGTCTACTGAGCAGACACCTCAGAGCACAACATCTCGCCCATGACCCGCTGAACTATACCAGTAACACACAGAGTGAGTGACGGAGTGTGTTTGTCAGAGACATTGGCTGTAGAACTCAGACAACATGTGATAAGTGCCAGCAACCTAGGGCTGTCCCCGACTAAAAACGACTCTT